GTAGTGTGTGTGTGTGTGTGTGTGTGTGTGTGTGTGTGTGTGTGTGTGTGTGTGTGTGTGTGTGTGTGTGTGTGTGTGTTTGTTTACATAATTCGTAATAAAATAGCTGAACCCGATGTGGTCTAGAATCTGACAGTTCCTTCTTCAGTCCTTTTTTTAATTTTATAAATTATTATTATTAGGATTTTAATAATTAAGTATTATAAATTAAAACATCATGGCATTTTTTTATTTGTTCGATAATTTTTATTTATTCAGTTCGGCAAGAAGCTCTTTCGGTAATAAAAAAATTATCAAATTAATAAGAGACTACCTTCGATTTATTAATTAAAAGAGTTATTATTTTGTGTTGTGTAATAATTAATAAAAGTTCACGATTAAATTCGAGGCCAGTTAATCAATAAACCGAGTCTGTTTTTAAAAACGGTGTAAATACTAAATACATTTTATACCAAATCACTTTTGACATTTTTACTTCGCACCTCGGAATTATCGAGGTGCTAAGCTAAATAAAATCGCTCCGTTTTGTAACGACGCGAAAACTTTCTGCATTTTAATGAGCCACATTAGGTACAGTCACCTTATTATTACCGCGAGAGAAAGCAGTGTTGGGAGTCAAGTTGTCACAAAAGTTGAATTGTCGCGTGGCTTAATCACGAACGATTGCCGCAAACTTTTACAGAGTTCGCACTTTACAGTTTCGTCTCACTATGTATTTATATCCGTCGCCGGATTTATCAGCTAGACAGATGCGTTCTTATCTTAATTAGGATTGTATCGGTGTCGGTTGTTAGCGCTCTACTTAACGGTGGCTAATTAATCTTACTATCCCCGGCTATATATTACAGCTGGAATCTGGGTGTTTAAGGGATGGGATCGCTAACATCCATCTAGAGATAGTCAACTAAACTCTGCCACGCGTGCAACAGACCGATTGTCCGCTAATGCTAGATTTACGGTACATTTTATTTATCGTACCCACATGTGTGTATGCATTTACGTGTGTATGCGTGTGTATGTTTACGTGTCCACGTTTTCTTTCCACCTCCTACCGTTACTCGCTAGATGACTGCTAAGTGAATGACAGAACATAGGGAGTGCAATTGCGATCGCGAGATCCCGCGATATCTCGCTGCGCGTGGATATCGGGATCGTCCTAATATTGTATACCAGTTTTGTAAGACATCTTAGTCAATTGTTAGTACGGCGCATTTTTTTTTAATTTTTCATGCGATAACTTTAAGTGGACCCCAATAGACGAACGTGTATCCGCGCGCCGAGAATTATTCTCGTGAGAAATTTATAACGCACCGAATCCTGATCACACACGATGTGTATGCGCACGTGAGTGTGAATGTGTGTGTGTGTGTGTGTGTGTGTGTGTGTGTGTGTGTGTGTGTGTGTGTGTGTGTGTGTATGTGTATTTTGTCAGACGTGAATAATCGTATCGCTCGTGGGAGCGAGATGTACGCATGTGAATCCGAGTGCGAATTTGTACCGAGTGTTGAACGAACACGAAACGATCTGATCAATTCGACGATCGAACGAAGCTTTCTCCGCGCGCAGGCACAGACTTTTTTGTTTAAATGTCTCGCTTAAGTATAAATATATATCGAGTGTAAAAAGATAATGTACGTGTACTCTTTGTTTATATTATTATATATATATGCAAAAGACGCGGTTCCCTTTCTCCTGTGTCGCACCTCGTGACGTGTCTCTGCGAGATTGTTAGGTGACAGCCGCGAGTGTGACGTTCGTTCCTAAATATTTCGCTAAGACCTTTCTGGAAGAAGTAACATCGAGGTTTTTTTTTTGCTAATTAGTGCGCGAGCGTGCTGGAAAAGTCTTATCGCTAATTAAATTACTCAAGTATCGACATCGACGTGTTATCGTTTCTTCATTTATGATCGGGACCCTACGTCGTTTTCCGTCTCGGTCGTGCTCCTCGTCCTCTCTCCGACCTTCCTCCCCCCCCTCCCCTTCTATCGAATTCTATATAAATGTGTTATCTCTACGAGGTTCCTCGTCGGGAATATCGAAGATAAAGCGACGCGCGTATGAGATCAATCGCGTAGATACCTACGTCGTTTCTCCCATTTCCCGCATTTTCCGAGTGAAATAAACACGATTTGTATGCCGAGTGGTCCGTTATCGGCGATTTGACTCGGGAAGAGGATAATTCTACATAAAAAAAAAAAAAAAAATTTATGAAAGTACGAAGCGGAGTCCCACATGAAGCTTCTGTAATTTAACTGGATTAGAAAATTGGAGAATCAGCAACGCCGATTTTCTCTTGTGAATTCATGTAAATTTTTAGCTCTCTTCGAAAAAATGTAAAAAGAAAATAAAAAAAAATTTGTCTTTGTTTCTTATTATTTTTAACTGCTGCCCTTTTTTACGCAGCATCTCGCCATCTCTTCCCGGTTGGACGATCAATAACGGACCGCTCCGTGCCAATCGATGGACTGAAACGT